TTCTTGCTTTTAAGTTGAAGGTCAGAATAACCAATATCAATGCCAATTCTGAGTCTTTAAGAGGAATGAGTACTGTCTCTTGGATTGATAACAAATGCTACCTATCAAATTTGCCTCTCTGCTGCCATGACAGAATAGGAACAGTTCCTATGCCTCCTCTTTTATTTGATTGCTATTTTCCTTGTTGAATACACCCATCCCACTTTCAGCACTGATTGTGTAGTACTCTATTTTGTAATAGGAATATTACTGTGTAATATGGTCTTACTGGATTTTTGTATTTCCCCATATTTGAATGCCCCATACTTCAGCTGTAAGCTTTTCAGGAAAATTCCCACCTTTTTTTTTTATTTGTTTTTTGTAGTGCCCTGACATTGAGCCAGTACATGGAACCCTTGGGGGGAATACTGATGCTAGCAGATAACCACACATTGCTAAGTTTATACAGTTACAGTTTCACATGAACTGAGATAGATTCAGGTCAAAGTATTTTTATAAAATCTGGAAAGCCTTTTGCCACTGCATATCCCCACTGTTTAAAGATCACCGGCTATTTTCAGGTAACAATTAACAAAAAAATGCTTTATTTGAAAAAATAAACAATACCTATAGTTCACGTACTTAAAAGACTACAACAAAGTAAGGGGTTTTTTGTATTCAGAACTTCATGCAGGCAGTCACCACGGACATTCTACATCTGAAATAGTCGAAAACAAAAATATTTACAAGCTTCAACCACACAATGGTGCATTGGTAGGTGCAGGGAAAAAAAACTGTTCATAGGAAGGCTGTTTTTAAATTTCAGGAACTCTTGTAGGTGGTCCCAAGACCTTAATCAACCCATAAGGCCCAAGTACGTGGTCTGCAACTCCAGTTCGGGCCACAAGATAGAGCCATTAGCACAGCCTGGCAACCCAGCCAGCCCGGCCGCGCAGCAGCCCCGCAGCAGCGCAGGATTGGGCCCACAGCTTTCCAGGGCTCCCAGGAAGGACACCCCGCCGTAACCACGCGGTACCGCTACGCAGCATTGAAAACAAGATCCTAAAACCAAGACTCACATCTGCAAGTTCAAAAAGACAACATAACAGAGTTTTGCTCTGTTTTGACACGTTTATCACACACAGTAAGCAAGCCTGAAACTTAGCCTTTTGAGGTGTGTAAGTATCATTCTATGCTTGCCCTATTCTTACATTTCTCCCCAGGCATCTGCTCCCCATGGAAGGCAGCGCAGCACTGAGGCAAGCATCAGAAACCACTGCTGCCTTCAGCTGAGGTGCAACACGCCCTTTGCTAATTTTCCCCATCCGTATTCACAGTGCTATGCTAACTGAGTACTTTTAATGACTGTCCTGGTTTTGGCTGGGATAGAGTTAATTTTCTTCCTAGCAGCTGCCATAGTGCTGTGTTTTGGATTTAGGATGAGAAGAATGTTGATAACACGCTGATGGTTTAGTTGTTGCTGAGTACTGCTTATGCTAGTCAAGGACTTTTCAGCTTCCCATGCTCTGCCAGGTGCACAAGGAGCTGGCATCCCTGGGGATGTTGACCCAAACCTGGGACAGTTGATCCAAAGTGCCCAAAGGGCTATTCCATACCATATGACGTCATGCTCAGTATATAAACTGGGGGGGGTTGGCCGGGGGGCTCTGGTCGCTGCTCAGAACTGTCTGGGTATCGTTTGGTGGGTGGTGAGCAACTGCATTGTGCATCGCTTGCTTTGTGTATTATTATTACTACTATTATTATTATATTGTTATTATTACTACTACTATTTTACTTTCTTTCAATTATTAAACTGTCCTTATCTCAACCCAGGAGTGTTTCTCACTCTTACTCCTCCAATTCTCTCCCCCATCCCACTGGGGCAGGGGGAGTGAGCGAGCTGCTGCATGGTGCTTAGTTGCTGGCTGGGGCTAAACCACAAAAATGACAAAATTGAGCTATTCTTTTTTTCATTCCCACTGTTTCTCTTCAAGAGGGAGGGCCAAGATGGAGCAAGGTAGCTTTATCTCCTCAGGTATGATTTAACGCAATTAGTGCATTACCAACTACCCGTGTGCAATACAGTGCATGGGGTAGATGTCACTGCCTCCACACACGCCTCTGGACTGCAGAGCACCAGTAGCTAACTGCAGGCACGACTCGAGATTACAAGGCTTAGCAATGAGGGGAAATAAATCTCCTATTTGCAACTTGTTCCTATGTGATTAGAAAGTTAGAGACAAACAAGCCATGTTTGGAGTAACTTTTCAAAGTACAGTTTAACTAAGCTCAAATTTTTATTTTTCAGAATATGCTTCTGGCATAGTGAAGTGCATAGGAAAAAACCACTAAATATTCATTAAAATGCCACAGTATGTAGTAAATAATATCAAAGTGATAGTCCAGTGTTTTGATGTTTTTACACTATTGCCCAAGATCGAATAAACTCAGTAATTAGATATTACATGTCACAAATAAACCCTAATGTTGTCCACCCTTGTGGACTGTTCATATACATCATGTTTCCTTCTCCTAATTTTTAAATATGTTGCTGTGCTGCTGTTTTCCATAACTGCTTTGGTGAGGGCAAATTTTCAAGATGCTATGAGGCATGCAAAGAACCACAAGATCAAAACTCATGTTCATGATGATGAATATAAAAGAAAACTACCAGTCCCAGTTCTGCATTCACTTCATGTTTGAAACATAGAACTTCTTCAAAAAGACTATATACTGAGGTATATATTTTTTGCAATTCATTTCACAGAGATTATTTCTTTAAAATGAAACACACGCTTGAGAAATTATTAAGACACACATGACTGAGAAATGTCCTCTCCCTGGTTCACACGCTGCTTCACCAGGAAGAAAAGCCAAGCCAAATACATTGGGATCCAGCTGAGATTCCAACTCTGTTTATCAAGAAAAACTTAATTTTGCAGGATCACATCTGTGTGCCTTTTGGAAGAGCCGAGAACTTTAAGCAGCAAACCTGTAAACTGATCCTAATCTGAAACTGCCAGTGTCATTCCAAGTTAAGAAATTCCCTTCACCTATAAAAGTGCATTCATTTTAAAAGTATTTAGATCTGCTTTCCCTACAGGCCTGCTAAAGCTCTTACATAAACTCTATATGCTTTGCTTACAGTCAAACAGGTCACAACTCATTCAGGACAATATTCAGGCAGAACACTCAAAAGCACTTTCATTTCAGCAAATACTCTCAACTTCCTACCTTCAGCTGCCCTGCAGTTTACAGACTCAAAATAACATTTCCTTTTCCTTCCTCCTCTTCCCTCTTTGAACTCACAACTGAATCATTTTGTTATATAGTTTCCAACAAGTTGCTATTGACCAGAGAGTAATCCAAAAAGATTCTTGAACCCTCACATACAAACTTAGAAAGATGTTAGTACTTAGAAACTGGAATTATGTAGGGAATTTAGTTGTAACAACACTATTTTCCATATAAGTGAGGTTTTTCTGAGCATAGCTGTTGGTTTCTTTCAGTAGTAGTTTGCTCCATCCTTCACTCTACTTTCTTTCCTTGATCGTCTGCTGAATGCCATCCTTGGGTTTTGGGCTGCTGGTTTCTTCCCATTATTACAATCTGTTCCTTCCTCTTTCTCACGTTGTTTTTGCTCCTTTCCTCTGAGCACAAACTTAGGTTCTTTCAATCACATAACTCCTAGTGTTCTGATGCATTTCTTCCACACACGCTCATTTCTCCTCTTCCATAAAGAGTGTCCAGTTCTGAAATCTCCCATTCCCTGTTGCCTGGGAATATGGAAGTACCAATTCCCCCCTTCTGCCTACATAGAGAAATAGGCCAGCAACAAATATATGCTGAAATTGAATTCTCCCACATCTGAGAAGATAAAGAGCATTCACTACTGGTCCAGAAACTGCGCTCTCTTGGAAGCCACTGTTTAGCCAGTAAGGCCATATCCACTTCCTAGAGCAGAACAGCATGAGATTGTCTCAAAATTTTGATGCAATTCTTTTTATCCTAACATTCCTCAAACTTTACAAAATTGCAACCATCTTCTAACTAACAGATTTTTGTTCAACTTCTCAACTTGGCAGAAGCACAGACGAGTGACAGTCAGCTGGATTTCCTGGCTGCAGGTATAAACATTGACTCCCCTTCCCTGAAGGAATAAACTGCTGCCAGCAACCTGAGAAAATTCACAGTTCTCCAGTGAATGGAAAATACTGCCAACAGTTATTTCTTTCTCCCTACCCTGGAGGAACTGAGCTGCTGCCAATTAACATAGCATTTTCCTACCCTTTGCAATCCTTTTGAACTTTTTCAGGATTTTAAAGGAAACAGTTTTGTCTCTATGTAAATCTATCCAGTGCAAATCCTAGCCACAAAAAAAGACTGATAACTGTAGCAGAAGCCCCTAGAGAAGGGAATCTTGTTAGTTTACATCCATTACTTGAAAAATGTAGTATTTATAACCAATTTATACAAAAGCCAAGCAGAATCCAAGTGCAATGGAAAAGAAATCACAGAGACTAAGAAATGAAGTGCATATGAGAGAAACTACATTCAAAAATTCCATTAATTGGAGATTATATTGCTTTTCATGTTACTGCCCACAATACTACAAGCTGTCTTAAATGAACCATTATTTTCCACTCGGACTATAGTTACGTTATAAGTTCAGTATTAATTCTGATGTTCTACCAGTCATTCCTTGAAAAATAGGATTAAAAACTGACTATTTTTCCTACAGCGTGAACACTCACAATGTTTAATGGCACATAAACAATTCAGATCCAGGGCAAAGGGACAGAAGGCTAGCAACTTGAATATTGCTATGAGACTGCCACAAAAAGAAAAGCTTCTCCTCCCTAGTTTGGTTTTCATCTGTCCATAAATACAGCAAGATACATGCAGAATTCATTTCTCACACTAGTCTAAAATACCCTCTCAGTTGCCTGAATAACTGCATTATTATATTTTAAAAATTCTCATAGATGCCTTCTTTATGTAATATATTAAAAACTCACGAAATCAGCTTCAAGTTTTCCCATTTCTTGTTTGTAGCTTCTCATTCGACTGCTGTACATTCCTCGGCTTTGAGGTGGGATCTCTCGAACTTCAAGTTCCATCTGCTCAAGCTAGCAAGTAAAAATAAAGAAGAGACATGTAAATCAAAAGGGTAATTAAAGCAAGGATGAATTTACCTAAATTGTTCACAAATACTAAGAAATATTCCTTCTTTGTCAAGAAAAATGTTGTTTACTCTGCAATATATAAACAATTTATCAAAATCTTTACAGAGCCTTAAGTCAACAAACAAATGACAAAATTAATATTATTAACACTTAGAAGGAACGACTCCAGTCAAACATTTCTGGATTTCAATTCCAAATGTGATGAATACATTTTATTACAAGTAAATAGTAAAACTGAGGTTAAATAACTTCCTGCAAATGAGCATAGTTCAGAAGAAAGCCTACCTCCATCTAGCTGTGTGGCTTTGGAAACCCTCAGCTGAAAAAGGTATTTTATTTGTTTTTATACACACACACACATATGTGTGTATATATACATGTGTATGTGAATATATGAGTGTATATATATATACTTGGTTAAAGTTTTAGTTACTACCAGCCTCAAATATGTTTAATAATATAATTCTTGTTCTTTAAAATGCTGCTTACTCAGCAGAATTACAAAGCCTGAACTGCCTAAATCTACATCCCAAATCTGTATGTAGGTATAGTAAATAGCTGAATTTCAGGGTTTAATGACAGTACTATTCAAGAACTTGCATATAGTTGAATGCATTAAAATGTGAGAGATAGAATCTCTCTTTCAAAAGCCTTCTCTATTTCTTCTTGCCATGTAGAATACTAAGGTGCCTGAAACTCAAGAATATGGCACAGAGGCACAGAAAATCAAAAGGAGTTATAAACCAGGGTTGAGCTGCCTGCTAATTACCTGCCCACTGGGTCATGGAGCCTCCACTACATGGTGCTGTCTGTTCAGGAATTCTATTTTGCACAGCTGAAGAATCCCTTACCTGCCTCTTAAAACCTTTCCAACTTACTCTAAAAAGATAAAAGAATATCTCTCTTTGGTTGCTGTAGGCACCTGAAAGAATATTTATTCACCTCCTACTGATCTGAGTTGAGCAATACGGCACTGGAACAGAAATGCCTTTCAATTAGGTTTCCAAGCTACTGGTTATGGGTCTGCACAAGGGACAGCTACAGTTTATTCCTATGCAAACGCTCACTTACGCTTTGAAATTTCATCCTCATATCGTAAGAAAAGCATCTGAATTTAATCAATGGAATTACCAGATACTCAAAAGTCATTCTGCCTGATCTATTCTGATTATACAAAATGATATTCAATAATACACTGTAAAGCAGAGTTTAATTAAATAGTCAGTAACGAATTGAAACATACAAAGCAATTTCTAATTCTACCCAGTTCTTTGGCTCAGGCTTAACTTTCCAAAGGGATATTATAAATTAAACCGAGAGCTGCAGTTAATGGCTTATTTCTTATCAATTTCATCTCAATATATTTGATCTCAAATATTCTATAAACATAGCAAACATTCCTCTCATATATATATATAAAAAATTATATGTGCAAGGTCAGGATACTTGAATGAAGTCTCAATTCTTATCTATTATATAAAAACGAAACCATCTCCCAGTAAATACAGAATTTGCAGCAAGGATCAGACCACAGTCCATAAAACCCAAAATGTTCTTTCTAAAGAGTCAGTGTCAGAGAGTGAAGGTCCAAGGAACAATGACGAAGCACACACATTCAGGCTGACCAGTGTTTAACATTTCTTTTCTGTCATCATGAGATTAAACGGGCACATTTTGTGGCTGGGCTGATAAATATCCATGCAAAGTCATGCAGAAAAGAGCGGTCCAAGCAGGTGTGAACCTAAATGCAACCTGATTTCATGCATCTTCACTTTCATGCTTCATATTATTGGTCATAAAAATCATATTTTTCATATACAAGCAATACCAGAGCTAAATTCTACTAAAAGCTAAAAATAACCTGGCACTTAAATCTCAAAACATCTGTAGAAGCTCACATTTTCTTCAGAAAACCTAGAAGCTCAAAATTCTGTTATTGCTTACGTTCAAACTTGCCAAGGCCATGGTGAAGCTGAGCATTTTGGCACCTAACTCTTGCCCAAATCCATAAACCAGGTCCAATCCTTAAAGCTCCTCAGGTGTTTAACCTAGTAGGTTTGCTCTTAACAACACCCAGTACACTCCCAGCACCAAATACAGCATAAAGCAGAGCAGCCACTGGTATTTCCATTCAAAAATACAACAAAGTAAGGTAGTGCTGCTGATGTTGTCCACTGAGACTCCAAAATAAGTCTCCTGCTCCCACAGGAACTTTTCCACATGCAAATTGTGCTTGAGCTTTGCTAGTAGTTTATGAAACTTGTAAGCTTTCTATTTTATTCTCATTCTAAAGCTCTGGAACTACAATAGAGATCCATATTAAAAAAAAAAGTGTCTAGCTAGATAACAACCTAGCATTTGCAATACAATTTTGTGATGTGTCCCTCATAAAACATAAAGGCAAATAACGCACAGACAGATTTTTCTTCTTAAAAGCAAAATTTCACTCACAACCGCTAATTCCAGCTCTTCTAGCACATGCTAGATTTTACACTTAAAGCATTTCCCTAAGGTTATCACAACATTCACCTTTCTTAAAAAGCTCATAAAAATAACATTCAGCTATTCCACAAGGGATGTAGAACAACAGGATTTCTCTCCAGAGATCTCTTACTCAACAGCTCTGGCTTGAAAAGGCAGCCTGGGAGTCTGAAAAGTTTTGGTGTCAGTTCTGCACATAGATCAAATGAATTACACAGTGATTTTACCCAAACAAAGCAGACAGTGTTTTAAAATAATCAATGGTTAGTCAATGTAAATAAATTATCTCTACAATAATATTTATACCACATGAGAGTGTTATTTCCTAGCCAAGCAGGAAATGAAACAAAACCAGCTAAACCCAGCTTTGACTACTCAAGACAATGAAGCAGACCAATGTATGAAAACTATCAGTAGCAAGGAATTAGGTTTATTTTGATTTTCTACTGTAGCCTTTAGTTTAAAAGAGGATCTTTTTAATCAGTTCTGTTATTAGCAGGTTTGTTCAAATTGATTTTTAAACCCAAGCCTTGACATTAATCACAAACATGTTATGTAATTGCTTAAAGCCAATAATTGAATTAAGCACCTGTCTAGCAGCATTAGCAACAAGATCTAAAACAAAAGCGTGAAAGAAAAGCCAGTACATTAAATGAAGATCATCATTAGGATAAAAGTATAGACACAGGATTTACTTTTTATTCTTAGAATAAATACAAATTTAGATGATCTTTTTCTGACATAAGGAGAAAAGTAATGAGCCATTAACTCAGTTTCTGCTCTTTCCAATCTTACCTTGAGTACAAAACCAAATTTGAATTATTTTTCATCAGACCACCCATGCTACAATTACCCTGTACTGCTATGCTTCTTTGCCATGTCAAGTTGTAGTGAAAAGGAGATGAAAAACATTTCTGTATTTTTACTTCTTCCAGCTGTTTGAACATGAAAGTGCCCAAAAGGCCTTAATATATCTTCAGAACATCCTCATCAGATGGGACAGTAATTTTACTGCATTTCTCACTGAGAATACCAAATCAGAGAGGTTAGCACCTTGCCATCCTCACGGGGTAAACCTGCAGGGGACTCATCCCAACATCCAGCTTTTCTGGATGTTATTCCAATGCTCTGGTCTACAACACTGATTTAATTCTTTGACCAAAAGCACCAGGTATGTCAACAAACACTCTAGAGACCTTCTTCTTCCTATGCCACTTTAAAAGTTAATTTCAATACTACTGTTTAGTTAGTAACCAAATCATTGATTCAAGTTGCTCAATCATAAGAACTTTCAGGCTAGGAGAACTGATTTCCTTTCCCTATCCTAACAGTCAGATTACATTTCTGACACTAGATAGACCAAACTCATTTGCAAGCAATAAACAAAAGCAACTTCAGGCAAGGAACTACTGGGTATGTGGGAAAAAGTCAATCTCAACGGTCACCAACACCTCTGCTGAGTTAGTCCACATCTACAAAACTTTGCTTTTCCACTCCATCTGGATGGAGGACTTGACAGGCTGTAATGGGAACAAATTACAAAAAGTCACAGTTGCTTAACATATATTGCTTTCTCCTGTCAGTGCAGACCACTAACTAATGCTTGGTTAACATATATACTCTTCTCACCCACACTACCATTGGCCTCCTTGACCTCAAACAACTAAATATCTTTATGCCTCACTTGCTAAAAGAGAAAAAAACCTACTGCTCTACAAGACAATCAGACAGATCAAAGCAAGTAGATACATGGGTCCTACAAGAAAAAAAACAAACAGCCCAGGTGTGTAAATATTTAATTCAATTCCTAAAGTAAAAGACCTAATCCACAACTCAAAGCCTGTAGCAACTTGTAATAACTTAGAGCAATAATGCAAACCTTAAATCACTTAACGCAAGATCAACAAAGGATACACTCCTCTTGGGTATTTCATATCCTCAAATAGGAACTATTTCAAAAATATTATTTCATTTTCTAATATATTCTTGTTAAGTATTTTTAGGGCATCATGTGTGTTAAATGTTACCACTAATGATCCTATTATTTTGCCTAGGAATTTGCAGTTAACACAGAAAGCCAAAACGTACCAGTTCCCTTGCTTCTTCGAGCTGTTTCTCAACATTTGCAACCATCTGCTTCTTGTCATCTGAAACAGAATTGTGAAAATACCAATATAATTGTGCTCTTGCCATGAAAGAAAAATATACCATTTCAAAAGTTTGTATGTATCAATTAAAACTGACTCAAGGGATTTATGCTGTGTGACATCATCATGCACTGTGATACCCACATTAGTAATTAAAAAATAAAAGGAGATTGGAGAATCCTTGAAGTCTTCTGCTTTGTTATGCAGCATTTGCTAGTTAGGAAAGCAGTTACAGCTGCTCCAGGTGTAGGAGCTACGCCTCAGCAGGCGCTTGCTGGGTGTGTACAAATGCATGAGAAGGCACATACCTACACCAAATGGAAAAAAAATTATGGTTTAAGAACAAAGGCTTATCCTATCTATTTGCAAAATATGAGATGCATAAAACCAAGCATCCCACTTACAATGAATCAAGGTACTGAAGAAAAATGAGGTGTCTATTCCCCTGCTCCTATGCTGGGTCCAGAACCCTGTTTCTTCTTCTTCAACAGGAACAAAATTAAATGCCATGGGAACTAGAAGAAAACCCCTGTCTTCTAGTAGCAGTAAAAATGTAAATTAGTAATAAAAGACTAAAATTGTAAAAAATTAAAATCAGTTATAAGATATATGTAGCAATCATCTTCTGCCAGGTTCCCCAAGTCTACATCCCAGCTTGTCATGGTTTAACCCCAGCCAGTGACTGAGCACCACACAGCTGCTCACTCACTCCCCGCCTCCTCCCATGGGATGGGGGAGAGAATCAGAAGAGTAAAAGGGAGAACACTTGTGGGTTGAGGTAGGAACAGTTTAATAATTGAAATAAAATAAAATAGAATAATAATTAATAATAATAGATTATACAAAGCAAATGATGCATGAT